AAAAGAAAAGGTTTATGTTTAGCTGCCCGAAGTAATTACTGTGAAGGAGGTAACGTTTGCTTAAATGTAGGCACCAGAGTATGAGCTGACGTCACCTGCTGTGCTAGTTAACAGTCGGTCACATATATCACAATAATTGTACTTTATTTATTTACATAACTTTGTGGATTTTATACAGTGGATAGGCTGAAAATTGAAACTGCTTTCCCACAAAATAACAGACAAATTATCACATTCTTAGTTCCTTCATGATATAGAAACATTAACTCATTTTTAGAAAATTAAATGGCAATTTAAAGGTATTAGTACTTATAAATCAGTAAATTTAGAAGATGAAAAATCTTATTACGCGCAAATGCAAAAAACAGCAGTGAAAGTGAAACTAGCATGAACCCTACTGGAGAATGTTAAACATTCTTTTCGGTAGGTTTACTTACTAGTCACACTGCAGTTGGGCCAACATGGTTATCACCATTAAACAGACGCTTCGCCAACCAGATATTTTATCATTTATATTTGATTTTTTCCCCTAAAATAAAAAAGTAGTCTATGAAATATGAAATAAATAAGAATAATCTGGAAGTCTTCCAGGGATCCAGTTTCAGTAAAGGCACTTTCTTTGCTTTACAAAGCACTTCATTTAGCCACTCGGGAAGAATTTATTTTCTTGATATCAACTTGGCTCAGAATCAAGGTCCCATTTTTGAATTTTCCAACCTGTCCAACCCGTCCACTTGACAAAATGCTGGGAGCCGACTTCTTCTTTTTGGATTTCCTACATTTAAAGTGAGAGAAAAGTACCAGAGTTAAGCTTATAAAGGATCACAGGCCACCAGCCAGGCCACCAGGGTCTGCTCCTGCAAACCCCGCCCCTCCCATGCACAGCCCCTGCCCTGCTGTGGTACTACTGGCCTTACCCTGGTCCCTGAAACATGCTGAATACCTTTCTGCCTTTACTGGTTTCTTTCACACGGAATGTTCTGCTGCCAGATCTTTTCAGGCTGTCCCTTCCTCTTCACTCAGTTCTCACCTCAGATGCCACCTCCATAGAATGACATCCCAGCCTACCCCCACTGATTTTCTTTCACAATACTTTATTTCAACCTCTTCACAGAATTTGCCAGTACCTGACTTATCTGTTTGTATGTTTTGGTGTGTTTCCCTCACTACAATGTGAAGTACTCGAGGGCGGGGGTACCCTCAACGTGGTCATGGCTGTATCCCCAACACTGAAGAAACCCATGTACCTGGCACACAGAGGGCCCCCGATAGATAGACATTTATGGCCAGAACCAATGACCACTTGACAGCATGTGCAAGCTCACTAGGAGTCCAAGAAAGAGGTTAAAACAAAAGGAGTCAATTTTGAAATAGTTACTGGAAGGGAGAGAAATAAGGCACTTGAACAAAAGCTAAGAGCATAAAGCAACAAAATCAATATTCTGTTACTCAGATTACGGTGCTCTGCATCACGTGAGATGTCAAAGGACAGGCAATACTGACCCAGACCGTGCTGTCACATCAGCAGGGCCTCTTGGGGGGACACACAAGTCTTTTGTTGGAAATGTCAATCTCAGCTTTTCCACTGGTTACTTGTGGGGTCTGGTCTTTGAAAATGGGAGCCTAATTCAGTTCTGAGGTTGCTGTTTGATGCTGGGCAGTTTACTAAATCCCGCCTCCCCTTAGAGGACTTGATCAGGACACAGGAGACAATGGAGCAGTCTAAGCAGCTAGAGAGCCCACATAAATTCAAGGCATTATGTACAGAAGTAATCAGTAGGTTTATCCAGGTCATCCCACTCTAGTACCTCATGATACCACTCACCTGTCTTCCTGCCCCTTCCTTTTCTTTTTCTTGAAAATATCGGAGTCCTGGGCCTGATTTCAGAATTTAAGACAATATATATGTCAGTAATGGATAATGGAGATGAGATTCGAAAAAAGGCAAGAGGTCAGTGATCCAACGCCACTGAGATACTATGCATTTTTAATATTTTTTGAGTAGGCATATTAAAATAACAGACTCAAAGTTTGGTCCCAAAACCCTTTCAAGGGAAGACTAATAATAGAAATATCCAGTCTTTCATTTTAGGTGAAAAGCCGGGAATATAACATCTATTCCCCTTGTGGTTTTCCATAAGCCATTGTGTGCCATACAACGTAAAATAAAAACAGAGGAATGAGTATAGGAGACGATCAAAGGAGCTGACATTATCTGAACAGGTGTTTGCTATTTCAAGCAAATCTTTCACATAAATATGCCAGATCCCTCGGCTTGCATTACAAAATGTAGCTGACCTGAATAAGGGAAGAGAATTTGGTCATTTAACTCTAGATCTTGTTGTCCAGACTGCTTTCTAAGCAGCCAGGCCCAGCATGCCATTGTGACAAACTGCAACCATCTTTCTGTTCTACTTTAATAAAGAAAAGGCCATTATACCTACCATTCTCTTTTCTTCTTCTTTTGCTGCAATTTTTTCTTTAATTTGCTCCTGCAAAACCTTGTAATTCACATAACTCTTTTTGGGAGGCTGAAATGAAAGAAAAAAGACACCAGTCATTTTTTATTTCGCATAAACTTCCCAGTGTCCCGTGGCCCGACTCGCCCTGGGCCCTTTCGTTTTCTGTGTCCCACCTGGTGATGGGAGGCCGAGCAGCCCCTCACCTGAGCACCCAGCATGATGGCGCGTTCCCGTTCCAAGACTCTCTCCTTTCCTTTTCCATAACCCGTGATCCCAAATCGGTGGACCTCCAGCCGAGCCTGCAGACACAGACACAATGAGACCCAGCTGCGTTTCAAACCCCACGGAAGAGCACATGCCTAGGAGTGACACACTCGGGTGTGTTTCTAACCCCACAAGAGAACAC